TCTCCCGTCAGTTTGCTTCCGAATTTCCCCCAAGCCCGGAAACCATCCTTTCCCCCTCCTGCATGGTGGGAGCAGTTACATGGGAGATTGAGTCTGTAGTGAGGGATGCCCAACATAATCAACCCGATCCGGGTAATGGGCCTTCTGGCCGTTTGTTTGTCCCGGACTGTGCGAGTCAGGTCCTCCTGTAGGGGCACTCATCCCTGTTTGCCTGCCATCCTGGGACTAGTCACAACCATGACCTTTTAAAGAGGCACTTTTGGTGGCCCACCATGGACTCAGTTACCCGGGCTTTCGTCTCTGCCTGCTCATTTTGTCGCATTTTTGGTCCGGATATGGACCTTGTCCCTGTCATTGTGAGATGGACTTCCCTATCTTGCCTTCTCAGAGACGGCTGGATCACGGAACTCTCATCTCGTCTATTGTATTTTAACAATTATTAAACGATCAGATTCAGACATTTAAAGTGACAGTTTGTTATTATTCAGGACATCCTCATTCACGGAGAATTCCCGCAACAAACTTAGTGACAGAAGCGGGATCGTCACTCCTCTACGGCTGGGTCCTCGAACAAAACCACGATTGATTGATCATCCCTACAGGGTTTACAGTCTCCTCGAAAGAGTGAGCGGAAGGATTGATGGTAGAGTCCAGAGGGCTGCAGGGGGGAGGGTCGACGATCCAGTAAGACGGTGAGAATCCACGTGAATAATAATTAGGGAAAAATTAAGGAATTATATATCGATACATCATTGAGGTAATAACATAAAGGAATTATGTTAAGGTTTTAGCAGGAACCTGGATTAGTACTGACGAGTATTTATAAAAATGTCAGTCTGGGACTCGACATAAGGAAGACGTATATATGCAAGGATAAATCCTCATTGATGTGTATGAATGTAAGAGGCGAATAAAAATAGTATAATCTAGAATTGTCACTAGATGAAAACTAAAAACAAAAACGGTAAAAACGATGAAAAAATAAATAAATAAAAAATGGTAAAATAATTGGGTCTACGACTACGATTTACAGCGAAAACTGTGGCATGAACGTCCCAGAAGACCGAAACAACATGGGAAGCCCACCTTAAGAGCTATTTTATGGATGGGCTCCGCCCTGAAACATCCACATGGATAAAGCTTAACCTCATTGACAATGGGAAGTTAGAAGCACGTTACACACCCATAGGCACATACGCGTACCTGGAGAAGCTAGATTGGAAACAATTACCGACAATTGAATTAACCATAAATGAAACCAGGATCCCCTTCATGGTAGACTCAGGAGCTACCCACGCCTTCCTTATGCAAAATGTATTTTTTAAAAACCCAAAAATGAGTGATAGATTCATGTGGTCTACCACAGACAACTTACACTGTACTACGCACATATCAGAAGGGAGAGATGTACCCCACTCAGTTCCACATGTGTCCCTCGCCAAAGGGCGGTGAGACCACTGGAAGGACTTGGGCCCCTGGGTAGAGGAATGCAAGCAAATCCGTAAATGGGACCCCACAGATGACCCTAGAGCAGCAAAAGACACAGACAGTGATGGAAAGGTAATGTACAGGCACCTGTTTCGTGCCATAGGATAGGATATATACTTTTTTTTGATCCCGTGAGGGAAATTAGTTTCTCTGCATTTAACCCAATTTTAACTGAATTAGTGAACACACACAGCACACAGTGAACACACAGTGAGGTGAATCACACACTAACCCAGAGCAGTGAGCTGCCTGCCCAACCAGCGGCGCTCGGGGAGCAGTGAGGGGTTAGGTCATTGTCATGGGCAGAAGAACAGTGGCCTTAGGGGCAGACAGACGGTTAGATGGGTTTACAATGTCCCAGGTAGGGGTGACCAATATTCCGGAAATAGCTGAACTACCAGAAGGGCTATGGGCAAAGGACAAGTATGATGTGGGGTTAATAACAAGCATGCAACCGGTAGAGGTAACAACTAAGTCGACATTTAGACCACATGCACATCAATATCCCCTGAAACAGGATGCCATCGATGGAATCACTGTTGGGATTGCCTAACCCAGACCGACCATTCCAACAGACAGTGGAGGTTAAGGGAAACTTTATGACATCAGTAATGACACAAGAACATGGGGGGCGACAGCGACTGGTAGCCTAGTTTTCATAATCGCTTAACCTGTGCCGAGAATGACGTCAGCAGCCTGACCTCGAAATGCAGCTTTGCCCCTTTTGCTGTCTCATGTATAAAGGAATATAATGATCGCTCCTGTGGTATTCAGGCACTAAACCATCCGATATTCCGTCCGCCAACTAATAGCCCAGGAAAACCCAAGGGAGGGTTCCTATTTGAACCCTCAGTAATATATCCTGCCTGCTTTAAAGCCACAGGATTCCCGGTAACCAGGATGGGCATTTTCCCAGGAAACTGTGTGTGTATTAACATACACATCTTGTTAAGTGCATTCATATTGGAATAGACCAGTTTGAGGTGTCTCTATTCTGCTGATGTAAGGCATGCATTGTTGGTCCAGATATATACGTTGTCCCTGTCGTTGTGAGACAGACTTCCCCATCTCGCCTTCTCAGAGACGGCTGGATCACGGAACTCTAGTCAGGCCTGACTATTGTATTGTAACAATTATGAAATGATCAGATTCAGACATTTCAGCCATTTCATTTCGACACAATCAACCATAGCATTTTTCTTGATCGTCTTGAACATTATGTTGGCATTAAAGGACAATTCCGGTGCAAAATGAGACCATATGATCATAACACATGTCCACCGAGTTCGACCGTTCTCTGGGATCAGTTTTCATTCTAGTCGAATGGAACCAAAGTTCTCGAAAACCGCTAATTAGCTTATAACGCTAGCTGTGGGGGCAAGATATTCATGTAAAATAAATCGCAATTCTATACCACTAACAAGACTCAAAATCGCACCACACTTCCACGGCAGCATAATGAGGGTCCCTACATGTAAAACGAAGCATTGAGAACTTTGTAAGTGTACATACAGTTTATTAAAAGGAAAGTTTAGAAAGGCAGTGCCTTCACGAAAACAAGCGGGCGCCATCTTTGGAAAACAGTCACGACCAGTCGAGCGACGAACGCAGCCGGGAAAAGCACAAACACAAACCATTTTCTTCTCTTCTCTATGCACACGCACTGTTCGCACTTCGCACACCTTCTACTAGATGGCACACCTTCTGATTCATTGACATCTCATGTGTACGCCTCTTCCGGCTCATTATGTTGCACTGCGTTCGAGCGACGAACGAACATAGTGTGCGAACGACACTTTGAGAGGAAATAGGTTTATCTCCTAAAGAGTAAATGACATTCACACCAAATTGGGGTCCCATGTCTACAACCCACCCCAGAAAGGACAGCCAGAAGATGAGCCAAATTGACCTCATGGGGGCACTATAATACCTACATTCGCTAAAATGGCCACAGCTCCGAGCCCAATTGTCGGATTTGAGTGAAACTAACTTTGGGACAGTTGAGGGTTAAGGTTCTAATTGGTCAAGTAAAATAAGGTGATTTACCAAACAATATGGTCGCCAGAGGCCAAAATATGTCCAATGAGCTTTAAGGAGCCAAAAGGTGGGGTTAACTGTAGCCACTTATCAAACTTGGTGTATGGAAAGGCACATGGGTGAAGATGAATCAGTCTAAAGATCGTCCACATTGGACCATAGGGGGCACTACAGTCACAAGATGAATAGTGCACCTTTAATACAGCCATATCCCACACACTGTGTCATCTGAAGGAAGTCATTTGATGGCATATGTTGCGTCTCCTCATAGCCTGCAATTATTTTTATCCATTACAATTTCCACAATGGATGGAAGTATAGCTCCCCAAAGCTCTCCAAACGCTCCAGTAAATTTGAATGGAACCTACTGTTTTGGACTCGGCCCCCCATTTTACATGTACAACAATGTCACTGAATCAATTTTACCCTACATGGACCCATTTATTTCAATTAAAACCAAACAGTGTGAGTGCCAGACAAAATGAAAAAAAATGGAGATAAAACAGCCACTTCTAAAACATTATTGGTTTTCCCCTGTTCGCTCTCACTGCCCAATGGCTCATTGGTTTGCGCATATGGTGTCACTTCCAGAGGTTTGTGGTTTGATTCCGCTCTATACCTCGCTCCATACCTATCAATGTGTGAGATTATCCCCATGTTCCCTACCATTCAGGTTAAAATGGTGAAAAAATTAAGTAGGGTTGGGCATGTTCCCCTGGTTCACTTTTTACCAAAATTTCCACATTGATCGAGATCAGCAAATCTGGAAAAAGGGACCAACAATTGGACCAAGTCTCTAGTGCCACCAATGGGTCAAAGTTACTAGTTTTCAAAAGGCTATATCTCAGGTTCCTTCTCAATTTTGATTTAACGGAAAAACCTACTTTCCACATCTCCTCCCAGGCCAATTCACCAATTCCAACCAAAACCAACTCTAATTGATTCCTGCTGTGCTGTTCTTTGAGGAAGAAGGCCGCCGACACAGGATCGCTTTTAACTCACTTTATTTGTTTAGCTTTAGGTATATTATCTATGAAGCAAAAGGAGAGGTATTGTAAAATTCACGCGCGTGGAGCGACCCTTAGCTGGATATCTGTCCAGATACGCAGCCTAGGGTTTCTGCCCTTCCCCCGGATGTGTGGTTTGGTAGTACCTGGACAGGCGTGGTCTCTATGACGCATACTATGCTCTGATTGGTTAGTGTTGAGCGCCCGCCCCCAGTGTATTATGTGTGCCGCCATCTGGTGGCCAGGTGCGGTTAATACAACTTATATATTTGTTTCTATTCCCTAGTGGCTATGTGAGGATATTACAGTCTGTTGATACATATGTGCGGTTATACATTCGTCACATTCCTCATTACCCAAATAATAAAAGTTATCAAAATAGTTATTGCAACATTCAATGCAGTACCCACAGGTGTAAACATTTTGCACCTACTTCTACAACATATTTCCATCTCCCACTATTGGGACATGTCTGTAGCTCAATGGTTAGAGCTGCCTGAAGTTGTTAAGGCTCAGGGTTCAAACCCCACACTGACATGCAATTTTTTGTGTGCTGGTATTCCATGATAGTGTATGTGTTGTACTATGATAGACAGTAGATGTGGTGGTGGATAATGTATAATGTATAATGGATAATGTATTCTATGATAAGATAGTGGATCTAGTATTCTGTGATAGGGTGTATTCAATGATAGATAGTAGATGCTTCTATGACACATAGTGGATGTATTAGATAGTGCCTACTTCTACAATATATATTCATCTCCACCTGTTGGTACATGTCTTTGGGGACTCTGTGTGGTTAATAGCTGGTTGGCAACCTCACCTGGCCTGAGTCAGTGATTAGACTGGGGCTGGGTGGGGCTGAACACATGCACTGTGGTGCATGAGCAATCATGGCACCCAAAATTAACCACACACATTCCACAGAGAGCCACTGTCATGACAAAGTTCTACACCTGCTCAGCTTGTACCATCTTTTCCATTCTAAATATATATTCTCCAACAACTACCTGTGTATTGCATTGGCGGGGTCTAGCAAAAGCCACTTTTGTGGTGTGTGGCAGGAACAACTGCTACACTGGCGCCCAACGTGAGGCTTCTCCGACGAGGAAGGGACATAGAAGGGCTGCCTGGACATGCACTGGAGTCACCAGCCGCGTGTACGAACAGCCACCTCCCAGCACCAGCCCTTTCCCAACAGCAGCCACGGCCAGCGGAGGAGATGGGAGGCAGCCGAAGGCCCCATGATCCAGGAAGGAGATGGGGATCGTACCTCGTCGCCCTGATGGCAGCACCATGGCTACCTGCCTTGCACTGCTGGTTTCTTTGGAAGCTAAGCAGGGGCTGGTCTGGTCCATCTCTGGATGGGAGACCAGTTGGTGCTGGTAGAGGTGTTGGAGGGCCAGTAGGGGGTGCTCATCCCTCTGGCCTCTGTAAGATCCCCAATGCCCCGGGATGGAGACGGGGACTCCGTCCCGTCTAGAGCACCGTCCTTCGGATGAGACGTTAAACCGAGGTCCTGACTCCCTGTGGTCACTAAAGATCCCGTGGCACTCATCGCAAGAGTAGGGGTGCTAACCCCGGTGTCCAGGCCAAAATTCCCAACCTGGCTCTTGTACCAACATGGCCACCTAATCATCCCCTGGTCTCAAATTGGTTAGTTTCATTCCTAACCTCTCCACTGTGCCAGTGTGTGGTGAGCGTTCTGGCGCATACTGGCTGCCGTGCATCACCCAAGTGGGTGCTACACTCTGGTAGCGGATGAGGTGTCATATCTCCCCCACACACACACACACTATGTAAGCGCTTTGAGTGACCTCCAATAAAGCGCTATATAAATCCAATCAATTATTATTATTATTATTATGGAGGAGGGACCTACCGAGGGCTGTTCTGGTCCGAGCTACCTCTGAGGCCCAGTTGTCAAGCCTCCTCTGAGCCTATCCAGCCAGCCTCTGCAATGGCCGGCCCAGAAACATGTCCGCCAGCCAAAGCAGCAGCCCCAGGCCTCCGGTCTCCTGGATAGAGGGGGTGGGGCAGTTAGCGTGTGACACTGGGGAGGTGTTAAGGCAGTGGAGTTTGGGGGTTGTTTTTATTTTAGGTATGGCAACCCTGTAAAGAGTCCAGGTTTTTTGTAGGTATGGTAACCCTGTCCTGTTTGTAGTTGCTGTTTTTTTTTTTTTTTGCTTGGATGGAGGAGTAGGCTTCGGCTGGGGATTCTCCCCAGCCTCAATTTTGTGTTGGGGGTATGTGGAGTGTGTTACGCCTGTTACAAAGTGTTACACCTGCTCTGCTTGTACCATCTTGCCATTTCCATTCTAAATGGATATTCTCCAACAACTACCTGTGTCGGGGGGGCCCAGCAAAAGCCACTTATGTGGCATGTGGCAGGAATCACTGTTACAGTCTGTAAATAGTATGTCTATACTATACACTATACTTTAACACACATGGTCCAAGGATATGGAACAAAGCTAACTTTGGATATAATGGGCTGATCTACATTGAAGCTACTTCCCAATGTCTGGCCTGAAAAATTGCTGAAAGATCAGTCAATGGTGACTACTTCCAGCAATAGGGGTGCTTTGGCCTCATAGGAGGCACTATCCCACACTGTGAGGCAATGGGCAGTTATTAGTCTATAGCTTCAAGTTACCGCCAGCAGTTGTCTCACTGATTTCAATGTTTCCTTAATTTTCAACTTTTTCCCACTTCAGGCAGCTGGTGCAGCTGCGTGCTTGACACCGGTTATTGCTGCTTGCAGCTATATATATTTTTAAATGATAATGTACCTATATTTGTTTGCAACATTGTATGCTAGATGTACGGTACAGACCTGTCATGTAATATAATGGGCCTTTAATATAGGCCTATCTATACATTTAGAGAAATTGTTTAAACATTAACGCAATTTTCTTGCCCCAGTGCCAAGAAAATAAACCTGTTCAAAATTAAGCTCATTTGATAGGCCTAGTGGTTCCTGCTGAGCAAGGACATATTTCAACAGAAGTGGCTCACCATTACTTGAAAACAGATGGTTACCATATGCCATGAACATGTCTTAGTCTATGATCTCAATGTAAGATTAACATTTTTCAAATGCCTTCACAGGTGAAAGGAATTAATATTGTGTGCAAATAGCTGGTATAATCACATACCCTTATTCATCGGAATTATAAACTGTATTAAACTAACAATGCATGTCTTATTGTTGTCTTAGTCTTAAACAGGGAATTACATAGAAATGTGTAAACATGTGCATAAGATTAGCATACACAACAGGGAGATGGTTCCTGTCTTAGATCTAGTCTTGAGGAAACAATACTGTCCACTAGAAAAACCTTCAGCAGCGGGGTCATTCTATATTTTAAGTAGAAATAACATTATGTATACTGTAGGTCCATAACCTACCAGCAGGCATCCTGCTCCTAAATTACATGTATCAAAATGTACTGTAAGTCACTTTGGATAGAAGTGTCTGCTAAATGACTAAATAGTAAAATGACTTCATAGTAAGTATATATGTGGTTGGTTTTAGATAAAGCCTTTCCAGCCCTAATGACAGACCTCAAACCATACCTTAAGGATGTTGAGTCCTAAATCATGACATGCCACTTTACGTTACCTTTGTAATATTATATCATGTTGTCTTTTGCCTTTTCTATTTTTATTTATTTTCTCTATTTTATTCTCCTTCTATAGTGTATATTACACCTTTTGCTGATGTAACAACAGCATTTCCCCGCTGTGGGATAAATAAAGTATAATCTAATCTAATCTAAATGACAAAAGCAGTCCTATCATTTCAGGCATGGCAGGTTAAGTTTGCTGCCTGGTCACTGACCACTCACCTGGGTACAAGATCAGTCTAAATGAGACCTTCTCCGCTGGCAGGTCCCAGCCGTGGACCATATCAAAGAAGTCCCAGCAGGGTAATGTTCTCTACTGACTGCTCTTCTTATAGAGGTCTTCATGTTCAAGGTTTAAGGGGCTGTTCATCTAAAGGCCTCTTCACCCTTGGAGACAGGAGTGACAGGAGAATAAAGCTCTTGGTGTTGTAATATAAAGGGAATTATTAAACCACTATCTCTTCTGCAGCCACATGAAGGATCTGCACATGACCATGATCCAGCAAGTGTTAGATTGTAATGTCGATAGAAAATATGAACATATGAAATATGAGTCAAAACATTGAACACATATAAAATGTGCATAAACTTAAATATATGCATAGTATACATATTCACTGTAAATCACATATTCACCTTTGAAACTAAAAGTTGAAGAATAGCAGCCGACTTCATATATTCAGTATGGTCACTTAGTATCACGATAAGTGAAAAAACAGTTAACTACATTTAATTGTCATTATTTTGATTAAAACACTACACAAATACAGATGTGTCTGTATTGTGTAATGCATGTGTATGTGAATCACATACACAATAATGGCACATCTGTATTAACGACTGTCTTGTGATCCAACATGTGGATCTCTAATTGTCAAATCTAATCAATGAAATACCAAAAAAAACGTATTGCCAATCATAGATTCAAGATTCAAGATTCAAGTTTCAAGAAGCTTTATTTATCCCGAGGGAAATTTCTGTGCAACAGTTGCAGTACAAAGGTGCAATACAAAGGTGGGAAGGTCATACAGGGTTAGAGTAAAAATAAGCTAACGTAAAATAAATAAAATAAGTACAAACTAAATAAGTGAAAAGGAGTGGTAACAATGGTAAAAGTGATAAAAATAGACACTATATTGGCCATGACATTGTCATTTAAACTGGGCCCCAGTGTCCCTGTTTGAGAGACACCTCCAACCACAACACCCAGAATCCTTAGTATATTGTACACGCGCATGCGCACTGCAGGTCTCCTCGTGATGACAGCAAATGACAGCCAGCGCTTTTTGACACTGCAGAAGTCAGTGTAGTCGGTCTGCTTGATAGCTCCTCTGGGATAACGCAAACAGCGGTCTTGGGAGAAAGTGCGGACATCTACAACACCTTACTTAACTCGGTATGTTGCTGAATCCGCGGCGCAATGTTCAGTTTGAACGGTTTTGTTTTGTTAACCACAGGCTTGTAGAGCTAAGCTAGTGGAGCTAGCTTGTGTTGGCTAGTTGCTGTTAGCGAGCGTTGGCTTGGTAAAGGTTAGCATGGTTTATTTCAGGTGAGCTACTTCATACATTTAGTCTCTCCGCTGCTAAACTAACCGTGTCCACGGGTGTTTCCAAGTGGCAGGGCAACAGCCATGTCTAGGGCGTTTCTGGGCTTGTGTTTGGTCTGATATTGTGTCCAGGCTCGGTTGCGAGCTCAGCGTTAGCGGTTGTAGCTATCTGATGTAAAAATGAACTCCCCTGGTTCAGCTACCGTCGGTGTTTACCTTCCTTCCGATTAATGTGACTAAATACAAACAGGCAATACGGAGGAATACGATTGGAAAAATTGTGCATACCAAATTATAACATGAAATGCGCAGATAGTTTTTGGTCTGCGCAAGGTGTCTTCGTGTTTGTGCAAATTAGATT